TTGATGTAAAGTGATGTTAGATGTGACTGGTACAACTTCAAACTCTTTTACTTTAACTTTGTATCCATTTGGAAGTGAAACTTGTATATGAAAAGGTAAGGTTCTAATATTGATTAGAGAGTTTCTATTAAAGGTTATGTGGTTTGATGCTCCTGAGTCAATGATCCATAAATTAGCACTTGATTCAAAACATTTGCATGAAGGATTATCAAAATCAGTAGAGGAAGAACAAACCACAATACCTGCAAAATTCATTGATCCAGCAGCCACACTAGAAGCATTATTAGCATCAGCATCTTCTCCCACATTCTCATTCTGGAAATGTTGCAATAGGTTCATGATCTGTCCACATTGTTTCTTCGTGAAGTTAACATTCTGATGATTGTTACCTTGTGATTTTTCCTCTCCATTAGCTAACACCATATCATTTACAACACCATGTACATTTGCTACCACTCTCTTTCCTTTGTAATTTGGGCTTTGTTGTCTAAAATTCTGACCTCCATTCTAGTTCCCTGATCTATAATTTTAATTGTTAATGTTTTGAGGATACCTATGCAACTTGTAACACTCATCCTTGATGTTCCCAGTCCTTTTATAATAATCACATACTATGACATTTCTGCTGTCGCTACTGCTTGGGTAATAAATTTTTCCTAAACTATTATTCCTAGATGCATAGTTGTTCCCCCCTAAATTGTTATTAACACTAACATAATTTCCATAACCACTTGCATAACTGTGTCCTTGAAAATTTGTTCTAAAAAGCCTTTATCCATGACCTTTGTTATCAAGAACTTTTGCATTCAAAGAGACTGGATCTGTAGGCATTCGACCAATAGGCTTAAATTCTCTTTGTTTTTCTTGTTGGATCAACAATGAGAAAGCCTGACCCGTGGAAGGGAGTGGATTCATTATGAGAATATTTCCTCTCACCACTGTGTACACTTCATTTAATCCCATAAGGAACTGAATTAGACGCCTATCTTGCTCGGCCTTGTGCATACCATCCTTTGCACCACACACACAAACACAACTACAATGATTTTTCACATTCAAAGTGTTCAACTCTTCCCACAACTTCTTCATCCTTGTGTAATAGACAGTGATGTATAAAATTTCTTGTGTGAGTTCATTGATTTCCTTTTGGATTTGGTACAATTTTGCTCCATTGGTTTGATCATATCTATCTTCCAACTCCTTTCAAAGTTCAGCAGAATCATTTACATATTCCACACTGTCTGAAACTTCTTTGATTAATGAATTAGAATCCAAGATGTTACCATGTCATCACACCTCTTCCATTGACGTAATTGAGGTGAATTAGCATTTGGTTTCTCAAAACTTCCATCGATAAAACCCAATTTATTTTTCACTGATAAAACCCTCATGACACCTCTTCTCCAAGATCTATATCCTGTTCTATGAAACTGAACAGGGACAAGCATCATCCCTGGATTATCCGAGGGATGCACATACAAAGCACAATTAGTATCACTTCTAGATGTGTTAGTTCCCTCATATGTGGATGTATTATCTTCGATAGCCATTGATGTACACAACAAAACTTATTGTGAATTACTCGACAAGGAAAAGGAAAAGAAAATAGAGATGAAACTCAGAATAGAACTCAGCCATGGACGAAGGAGAGATCAATTAACCGTTGCTCTGATACAATATTAAGAACCTGTGAGCAATAAGAACTCAGCCATGGACGAAGCCATGAAGTTCTTCAACTAAGAATTGAGAGAAAAACAATACAGAAAGAAGATTGTAATTTTGCAAAATGATTCATTATTCATGAGATGCTTATATACATGTGTTTTAGATGAATCAACTAGTCTGTTAGAGAAGGAAAATATCTAACTAACTAACTAATTAGTTATCTAACTAACTATGATGTCATTAACTACAAAATGGAATCTAACTAACTGAATGAAATAATTGATACACATGCTTTAATTATGGTTGTTAATAATTGGTATTTGGTAATGCATAATTGAGTATATATTTGAATTCTATATATCCATGTTCGACTATTTAGGTTTGCTCAAGATGTGTCCAAGTATTGGATGGATTTACCGAGGTATGACAAAGAGTATATAAATGGTGTTCATTCTTTCTTGGACTTTGTTTACACTGTTGGAGATCCTCAAGGTGAAGAAGTCCAATGTCCTTGTGCAAAGTGTTGTAATATCCTTATGTATAGGAGGAATGTAATATATGATCATCTGATATGCTACAGATTTGTTGAAGGTTATACAAGATGGATTAATCATGGGTAAACATTTGTTCACATTCAGAGCTTCCCTTGCACGCATTCACAAAATCCTCCTCTATGAAGTCTGTTGAAAACATTTGTACCATAATCTCGAGAAATACGTTCTGTTATAAACAACCTTGCAAATGGTTGAATCCTTAGATCTTCAAGAGCTTAACAAACACAAGATCACGAAGAACGAATGCACAAACCAAACATGCAAATGATAATTCACATATTCTTAGTTACAGATACATAGTAGATGCAGACGCATTCAGACACCTAAATAAGGACTAAAAATTCAAACTAGCTACCTATGGCACAACAATTACCTCTTCAGCAACAAGAAGGATGCATTGCTTTCTGATCAAACTATGTACATAATTGAAATTCCCGAAACACATATTTATACTGGTAAACACATGTTGAGATTCAGAGCTTCCCTTCGATCCTTGCGTTTGTTAGACCAATGCACGCATCGACAAAATCTTCCTCTATGAAGTCTGATGAAAATATTTGTAATCGATCAGCATAACCTCGAGAAATACATTCCATTATAAACAACCTTGCATACGGATGAATCCTTTCGGTCACTGGTTTCACCCACAGTACTGGATTATCTGCCTGTGGTGTCACCGTGTTCTCCACCCTGTAAAAGAATTTCCGTGATGTTATTGGTGGTTGCTCACTCAAATACTTCATGTTGCTTTCGAATTTCTTTTCCGGTAAGTCAGTGTCTATCCAGTCATCTTTTAGGTAACACGAATTCCATAAAGGACTTCCTTGTCTAGGTTTAGGTGATTTTCCTGGTTTCCAAACACATATGATTCGTTTTGGCAACAACTCTGCAACAGTGTTGTTGAAAACATTGTCATGTTGGTGGATGAGAAACTCCCCTAGCTGAGCCTCCAAATACTTGTCGAAATTAGGTGGATCATCATGTCCAAACTCTGTACGGATTTCCAGGATTATTATCTCTGAATGTGTTTCAGACAGGAACTTCTTAACATCGTTGATAACAACATCAATGTGATAGCAAAGAAGGATGCCATGGCATACATGTCGATCTTCTTGAACACGAATGTCAAGAACACGAACACCAAGTACAAGTTGTTCATAAATAGACAATGATTGGCATTGTCCGAAAGGGCGAGAAATGAATGGGATTCCAATTTCATCAGTTGCAGAATCATGTGTACCTAGAAAGGTAACACATGAAAACATCAAATTATGAATCGTAAAAAAATTTAAATTTTGAATCTGCTTTTCGTCGCGTACCTGGCCAAACTATTTGATTCACATGAAGCTTTTCAGGACCAAGTGTTGACATCCAATTTTTTCTGTCCTGTACATTATAATCATAGCCAGGAAAATTGCATCCATTTTTCTCCTTGAGATCACACAGGTTTTTCTTCTGAGTATCGATAGCTTTTCGTCTTTCGATTTGTTTAGACACCTCGGCACCCATTTTGAGAATAATTTCTCAAGAAGAAGAAGAAGAAGAAGCAATATAGCACTTCCTCTTCTTCTGGATTTTCTTTCTTTCCTCTCTGTTTCTATACACTGAAAAAAAGATGAGTTTTTCTGCCTCTTAAATTATGCATTCGTAATAGCAAGGGTTAATACATAACCACCCTACCTATGGTTAGATTTTTCATTTAGACGACATAATTATGTTTTTTTTTCATTTGAACACTTCAATTTCTAATAAAATATTCAGTGGAAAATTTGATTTTGTTTTGATGTGTTTTATTCGTCTATTAGATAATTACCTTAATAACATAAAATATGTGATTTTCTTTAGTTATATACAATCGCCATAATAAGCTATAAAACCCAAAGGCAAGCGTGTTAGAGGTGTTTAATTGGAATAAAATTTAATTTAAATGTATAAATGAAATATTCTGATAAAACTTTTAGGGTTATTATGTATTAAAACTATTTTTAATAGTATATACATTGTTCTACAGGAACTTTCTTCAATTATTCACTTCCTTTTAGATATTTCTTGTTCCAGCATAATTATGTCAACATATAATATCCAATATATTTTGTGGTTGTAGAGTTGTGAGGGTACAAGTAGACTTTTCTCTTTTGTCACTTGTTTAGGTGATAATGGTGGGGTCCATTTTCTTGAATTATTGGTAGAGAGTCGTTATAGCTATTTTATTCATCATGTGGCTATAGACTATAGTCATCCTTATTTTATTATTTGGTTGACTATTCTTCAAGAATACAACTTTAAAATGTTGGTTATATAGCGACAATTGAGTTGAGGTAGGATAAGTACACCACTTGAAGAACATATACATATAAATGAATTTGATTATTGACTTAAAAAAAAGAGGGAAATTTTCAAAAATATATTGTTCAACGAAACATTATGTAAAAGTATTTAGACATAAATATAAACCAAATTTGAGTGTCATGATTATAAAATTACTTCGATTTATTTTTAATAAAAAATTTAATTTGAGATACAATTCAAATTTAGGCAGAAGTCAAACAAAAATAATACTAGCCGCCTGCAGCTTGCATCGAGCAGATTGATGTAATGCATATTTTTTTTAAAAAAAATTCCCACAAATCACAACACTCCTAAAAGTCAACTAACTTACATGAGTTACAACCTTCTCTATATTTTATTTACACTCTGAATACATTAATCTCTTTTTTTCTTTTGACTTTTTCAGCAACCAACGTCTACTTGTAATTACCATATATATATATATATATAGAATGTATATGCAATGTATTCATTATAGACAAAGGAAAAGAGATGGAAAAAACAAGTCTAATTATATTGCTTTGTTTTATTCTTATGTCAATGGTTCAAGGTGTTGTATTAGGACCCAAAGCTGTTGAAAAATGGTTCAAGGAACTTCCTCATGCAAAGCAAAAGGTAACTAAATTTCATTTCTATTTTCACGATATAACGAGTGGAAAAAATCCAACCGCAGTTCCAATAATCAAGTCAAAATCCCCAACTTTCTTTGGGTATGTTGCAATGATTGACGATCCATTGACGGTTGGACCCGAGGTCAACTCGACTATAGTGGGTCGAGCCCAAGGGATTTATGGTGGAGCCGGTCAAAAGGAGGCTGCCCTTCTTATGACCCTCAACTTTGTGTTCACAACTGGCAAGTATAATGGTAGCACGTTGAGTGTACTTGGTAGGAACCCCGCATTTCATAAGTATCGTGAAATGCCTATTGTTGGTGGTTCTGGAGTTTTTCGATTCGCTCAAGGAATCGCCACTGCAAAAACCTATTGGATGAATGCTACTGATGCTATTGTTGAGTACAATGTTATAGTCCTGCATTATGACGTTTGATATGCTTTGATTTTTTTTTATTTTCATTTGTAATTTCATGTTCACTATATTTTAATGTATATTTGAATATGTCAAGCTGAAACAAATGCTAAGCGAATTAAGGTTATCATAGATGGGAGTTATTGGCTAAAATCATTCAACTATGACTCATATATAATGTACATCCTTATATTATCTAAGTGAGCAAAAAACATTCTTATACTATTCAAAAAATAACAAGAATCAACCTTCAACCTATTTTTGTTAAGAAACTAATTGAAAATATTTTTTTTATTCGGTCACGTCTTGACCACGACGAGAAGATCAAAGTTACCTAAAAAGAATAAGAATATGGATAGAAAATGAATCTTGAATTTAAATTTCGTGTGTTGTTAGTTTATAGAGTATATTTGTTTGCATCATCAAGTAAATTGACTTGCACTAATACATAAATTTTGGAATATTCACGTTTCGAAGGTTAGACAGATTATGTAAAAAAATCATTTCAAATATTACATCCAACTATTTAAAGATTTTCTTTGGTAAAATATTGAGGGGTATATACTATATATACAATGTTCACATTTTATACAATGTACAGAAATGCTGGAAATTTAGTGAAATTACATAGGTGTGTTTAGTTATTAAAATGAAAAAAAATAATTGCTTTATTTAAAATTTTTAAAGTTGGAGTAGTATTTGTTTTTTCCAAAGAATATTTAGAATTTGAATATATTTTGTATGAATATAATTAAACCCTCAATTTCGAAAAATTAAAAAAATCACCTAACTTGATTAACTTAACCATGTGTACATATATTCATTCGATTCGATATATTTTTTTGTTGGAACATGAGTTTCTTAAAAAAAAGATAGACAAAAGGATGAATCTTGCAACTTTTTGAAAAATTCACGGATGTCTTTTGTTCATTAATTAGGTTTTGGTCATACTCCAGGAATGATTTTAGATATACTTTTCAAAACTATATAAAAAATTACTATTAAGTCATGATTTATCCTAACAATTTTTATTGAATGAAAGGACTTTTAATACACCAAATCTTCAAAATTAAGAAGTGGATGAACATATGGAAGAAATTGAACTACGTATCTAGGTGAAATTATTCATATAATGTGCTTCCCCCCCAACCCCTCCCCATTTCATTTATAAATAAATAATTCTATTTCCATATATAAGTCTGGTCAAAGGTGTTATAAACTTATAGCCTAATCAACCCCAAAGCTAACTCACGAGGGACGTTTGCTCAAGACATATTATTGTGACAATATTTATATTACTGCCGGTATGTCTTTACTTATCGAACAATCCTTAATGGATCTTCCACGTCTGTCCTGAGTACTAATATCGTTTTTTTACAAGAGGTAAGTGTCAAAAATACATCTTATATGTTTTTTTGTGAGCTTCATATTAAACTATTGGAAGTGTGAGTTTTGTATCTAATCTATCACTTATTAGTTTATAAAAACACCTTAGTTGTTTTTGTAATGTTGTCACGCCTCGAGTCTACATCCTGGGCGGGACTGACACTCAAAGACCATTGCTGGCCCTCAAGCGGATCCTTGGTCTAGCTTACTTAACTCAGCGAAATACTAAACTCAACTTGAACAAGAAGTAAGACATGTTTAAAGGAAAGTACTTCTTATAATATCTGGCCTTGACGGCACTCAAGTCTCAACTAGCAACAATAAACTCTCAACTGAAATACTAGTGTCTACGAAGCCTCTAACTTGACTGAAGAGGGATGTTGGACAGACCCTACAACATCCTAAAACTAAACTACTAAAAACAAAAGAAATGGATGTCCTCCGAAATGCAAAGAGGCTCACCTCTGACTTTGGAGCTCAATCTGGATCAACAAATGCCGCGTGCCGATCCTGGTTACATGTGTCTACATCATAAAATGATGCAGGTCAACTGACATCAGTACATTGAATGTACGAGTATGCGAGTTGAAAAACTAAACAAAACTTAGGTCTGAAATGGAGTAAGAATGAATACTTACCTTGACTCTGCTCAACTCATGATGTACTAACTCTTATCCAATATACGCAGTTAAAATAAATACAATATATTGTGTATAAAATATAATAACTGATGTATATAAAAATATATTTATCTGTTGGATATTCTCTAACTGACGACCATCACTTAAGAGCTACAGTGATGATACAACGGTCTACCGCACGTTGCCAGTGTATCCTATACCCGAACAAAGGTATAAGACTTGAACTGCCTAATGGATCCACTAGTAACTATGAAAAGGAGTTAACTAAAAAGTATGACTCTTGGCTACATGATTTATGGGGGCTGTGAGTTATTTAAATTCTCCCCCATATCGGTGCTCAATACTACTCCCATAATTATACTGGCTCTTATCTTTAAAAACATATTGTTTCTGTGGTTTGAGATTAGTGCTCAGAACTTAGCTTTTAAAAATCTCTCTTGAAAATCATAGTTTCCTCTTCCTTCTATTAAAACTAGCCATAGACTTTGTGGAAGTCTAGCTTCCCTTTCTTCTCAAAAGTTTGAAAATATTTTTTTTGTTTAAACTCTTAGGGACTACTTAGTTCCCTTGTAACTCTTGAGAAGTGAACTCAACTTGATACACTTTGCTTACTTGAAACTTAACCTTAGGAAATACTTAGTTCACTTATAGTTTTTGAGAAATGAAATCAACTCTTTACTTTTTCTAGACTTGACTCATAACTTCCTTGACTTTGATCTTACTTTCCTTCAATTGGATTATGGATTCAAGGATCATAATCTCATGTTTATGAATGATTTCATGATGTTTAGATGTACTCTACAGTGTTGGAATCATTTAGGAATGAAGAGTACATCACTTAGGAACTAGTACGAAAAGATAGGGAAAGAACAGGGTCTCAAGGGTCCTGACGCTCTAAGAGGCGGGGAGCACCATAGCCTGACGGACAGAGGCTGTCCTCAGGTGCTCTGAGAGGCACAACGCTCCAGATCCTGACGGACAGACTGTCTGAGGGGATATGGAGGCACGGCACCCCAGCATCTATCCAACGGGTTTTTCGACTTTCTTCTTCGTTTTTCACCTCTAAACCTTCCCTAAATCCCATGGATACCAACCCAAACTCTTAGGATCCCTAAATAACTCATTACACAATAGTTTAGACCCAAAAACAGTTCGAAAACATGAATTAAAACTAACAGAGATCAACAACAATTGAACCAATAAGAACTTCAAACTTTTTATCAAGAACTTCAAGATTTTCATTCAATTTAACTCTAAACTACTGTAATGAATCAAATTGGAGGGCAGGTGAAAGAACTCAACACCGGATGATCTCACATACCTTGTTAGGGGTCACCCTGACGAAATCCACGAACGAATTCTTGGCGTTCTTGCGTCTTCTTCTCCCTTCTACTCTTTTCTCCTTTATCTCAAAATCCTAGATTATTTTCTAAATGTGAAAACTGATTGGGATCAGCTTAGACGCCAAGTTATTACCCATAAAATGAAAATACCAATTAATTTAGCATAAGACTAAAACAACCTTAACAAATTCGAATTAGGAACTTTTCCTGCTCAACAACACAACTTTCGAAAGTCATATCTCCTCATATGACCTCGAAAATTTACAAACTTGACGTCGGTGGAAAGAACTTCCGACGAGATTTCCATCCATATAAAGAATTCACCCAAAATCAATCCAAAGTTGAAAGTTATGGCCGTTTGAAAATGACCAAAATTTACTTTTTAAATTTGAAAATTTTCCAGATGTCCCTACTTATTTCCAAATTTGATTATTCTTGTTCTTCTTAGCTTAACCCTTAGTTCATTCTAGAATACGAGACATTTCAAATGCACTCTCTTTTATTTGCAATAACCTTACTACATGACATTTCATATATATACATATATGGATAAAATGTTTCACCTTGACAAATATATTAATATAGTTAAAAGCTAAAGACTGAAATATTACTATCTCAAAATAAATAAATTATTTTTTTAAAAAAAATAATTAAATATTTTTCTCACCCCACTCCACCACCTCCCCCCCCCCCAAAAAAAAAAATTAAAAAAACATCTACCGCACCACATCTAACTCTCCGCTTTTAATTTTTTTTATATCTTTTACATTTTTTCTTTTGTGTTAAATATATCATATATTTTTAGGAAAACATTATTTTCTACTTGTGTGCTGAATATAAAAAAAATTATTTTTTTAAAGAAGTCATGCGGGAAGTAGAAAATGCTTTTTTAAAAAAATAAAAAAGAATAGCTAAATTATTATTTGAAGGGATCGGGGGGATGAATTAAGAATTTGTTTTTAAAAAAACTTTCATAAATGGAAATTTTTAAAAGAATATAGTGGGAGGTGGGAGGGGGGGAGTGAGTATGGTGAGAAGAATTGGTAGAGTGAGGTAAAAAAATATTTTATATTTTATTCTATAGATATATTTTTTAGAATAGTAATATTTTAATCTTTAACTTCAATTAATACTTCTAATGTATCTATTTTTTTTGGTCATGGTGGAATGTTTAATCTATGTAAAGTGTGATGTGATATTTTTTTTAAAAAAAGGAGAGAGTCAATTACACACAACGCTAGGATGAGAGTAAATAAAAGAGGGAGGTATGCTTTTCAAACTAGTACTCTAATAGTTTAGGCATGAAACTCACATAAGGAAATAGTCTACGAGTGTTCTTTATTCTTATGATCTCTTTTTACTATGAAAGATGATGTCCTTTTCATTAGAGGAGAGTCTGCATGTGAGTACAGTCAAATTCACCAAATTTTATTTAAATATATATTTGTATAAGTAAATTTATTAAATATATACAAATATTCAAAATTCATTTACTATCACTTAAAATTATTATTATAAAAATGCTCAAATATATAAGCAGGTTCCTAAATTTGTTGGGTTTTTTCCCCGAGTTATCTTAACTAAGACATTTTCCTATTGAATCCTTGAACCACTAATAATTTGTTCCTTCTAAAAATTCTTGGCTGATGTGGAACCAAACTGATATCACGTCCTTTGAGCGCGTGCAAACGCTTTAAAGACGCTGATGTGGATCTTGAACCACCCACCGACGGTCTTCTTCCCCCTTTTAACCTCAATCTCT